TTTTTTTTTTAATACAGGATCTCACACTGTAGCCCAGGCCCTAGCTTCTCAAGTGCTGGGATTATAGATATCAGCTTCCATGCCAAGCTGAAAGAAAAATAAATTTTAAAATCCAGTTTTTGCTTGGTATGGTGGCACACACCTGTAATTGCAACACTTGGGAGGCAGAGGCAAGAAGATCATGAATTTTGGACTATCCTGAATAAGACCTTGACTTGAAAAGACAAGAGCTGGGGATGTAGCTTGCTGGTACAGTGCTTCTGTTGCATGCAGAAGGACCTGTGCTCAACCCAACAAACAAACATTTTTCTCCAATTATAAAAGCTGTGTGAGTGCTTTTTAAAATTTAGAGCACCTACATGCCTCATTCTGTCTAAGTCCAGGGGACATTTTGGTAACTCACAGTCCTTGTTGTCATACTGTTTACATTTGTGTGAGAGGGTCATGTTTGAGATAGTAAAGAAAATAATGTAATATCTTGGTGTCCTCTTCCTATATCTTTTTCTTGGTGTGCAAATATATTGGTCTGTGTACAGCGAGTTTACAGTAACATGTGCAAGTACCTGTCTTACCATATATGTATGATTGACAGCACATACAATATATATGGTTCTGCATCTCTTCAGTTAACACCCAAGTTGTTTGCTTGGTGTTTATTATTATAAATATTTGTCTTGCTCTTATAAACAATGTTATAATGAATATACTTGTTTACCATCATTTAAATGATTTTCTATGTCTATTTATAGAGCAGAGTTGAGCAAGCTCTGGCAGGTTTAAGGCCTCTTCGAGATATTACCTGTGCTGTTCTTTTCATTGGCAAAGAACAGAACATTTCTTATTCTTTTTTGTATGTATGTGAGGTGTACATGTGTGGGTTCATATGTGTGCATGTATGGGCTCATGTGTGTGCATGTGTGTTTGTGGACGCATGTGTGTGTAGACCAGTATATGTGTGGATGCATGTGTATGGAGGTCAGAAGTGGGTGTTTTCCTCTATTTCTTGCTGCTTTCTACTTCACTTACTAAGGCAGCAGGGTCCTCACTGACCCCAGAGCTTGTGGTAGATTCTGCTAGTCTAGCTCGCCAGCTTGTTCCTGGGAATGTCTGTCTCCTTCCCAAATGCTGGATTATAGCCTGTCCAGCTTTTTACATGGGTTCTAGGGATCCTAACCTCTGCCTTCAGACCCACTGAACCATCTCCCCAGACCTGACATTTCTCTGTTTAGTCATATGTCCTACTTAGTTAAAAAAAAATATTTTATTTATTTTTATTTTATTCCCCTGGAATTGGAGTAATGGATGGTTCTTAGCTGCCATGTGTGCGCTGGGAACTGGACTCGGGTCCTCTGCAAGAGCAGCCAGTGCTCTTAATTGCTGAGCCATCTCTCCAGCCCTGTCCTACTTAGTTTTAACTGTCAATTTGACCTAGCCTACAGTAACGTGAAAAGGGAGTCTCAACTGAGGCATTTCCCAGATCAGACTGGTCTGTGGGGGACTGTCTTGGTTGTTAATTACTGTGGGAAGGCTCAGTCCTGGGCTTATAAAAAAGCCAGCTAAGCATGAACCTGTGAGCAAGCCAGCAAGCTGCATTCCTCTGGGGTTTCTGCCTCAAGTTCCTGCTTGAGCTCCTGTCCTGATTTCCCTCAATGATGGACTGCGACCTGTAAGCTGAAATAAACTCTTTCCTCCCCTAAATTGTTTTTGGCCAAAGTGTTTTTTTATCAAAGCAACAGAAATAAAGCTAGAACACCTTATTGGAAGACAGGAGAGGGAAAAAAAAATTCTCTAGCTTTCATTTGTGGTGCAGGGTGAGCAGCCATTTTTGTTTTATTTTTTTCCTTGAGATGAGGGTCTCACTGAGTTGCTCAGGTGCCCTCAAATCATTTTGCACAGTTTGATTTTTAAATTTAGCCTATTGGTCTTCTGGCTATATTGCAAAGACTTTTAAGACCTAGATTGCTTTTAAAAATATGCAAGACTGGCCAGGTATAGTGGCACCTGTCTTTAATCCTAGCACTTGGGAGGCAGAGGCCAGCCTGGACTACATCATTCCAGGCCAGCTGGGGTTACAGGGAGACCCTGGCTCAAAATGACCAATTACACACACACACACACACACACACACACACACACACACACACACACACACACACACAGAGACAGACACACAGACACGATTGTAAAGGCCATTTTCATGTAAACATATTTTGAGCATATTCCCCCCAATACCCTACTTTATTCCCCTTTCTCCCCTTTGTTCCCCAGGCAGTTTTTTCTTCTCCTTTCATGTTATCAGAACCTAAATGATATTATGTGTACCTAGATTTCTGATCAAGTCATTGAAGCATGTTAGGAAGTGTTGATATATAGAGAACTGGGATTGAACCTTGAGCCTGGTGCATTATAGGCAAGCACTCTGTCACTGAGCTACATCCCTAACCCTTGAAATATACTTTTTTTAGGTATTAACTAGGCTCTAACTAGGACAGTCCCTTACACTGTGTGTGTCCCTGCTCTGGAGAACAATGGAACCACAGACAGAATGGCGTATTAGTTTGTGGAGTCATTGTGTTGGTACTAATAGTATTTAGAGTCCAGTTACAGCAGCAGGTGCTCTTTGAACTGCCACAACTGGGCTTGTGGTTGCTAGCACTTGGAGTACAGCTTGATAAAACATCTGTATGAGTGACATTCATAAACTTAGCATTTACAGGTTAAAGAATTGTTGTATAGATTAAGAGAGAGTTTTAAAAGCTAACAGCTTGTATTGCCTTGAGAGTTGAATAGTAATTAACCTTATTTTTAATATGAGAAAATGATTTTGAGAACTGGAAAATGCTGAGGATATGGGTAGAGGGCAGTAATTAATTTACTATCTCAAGACAGTAGCAGGAAGTACCAAGTGGATAGTCTGCTGAGGATCCTACAACATAATCACATTGAAGAGGCAGAAGTGCAGGCTTGATTCTGGTCCTGTCAGCTGGTCTTGCCCTGATTGACCCAGAAAAGACGATCAGCTTGGCTGAATCACCATAGGCAGATGATGTTTCAGAGGTTTTCACCAGTAATGAGAGCTTTGGTAATACCACCACTCTACTGCTGCCTAATAAAAAACAGTATAGTTTGCCAAAAACCCTACAGGGCAGAAAATTTGACTCGGACATCCTGACTTGCCTAAAGTCATGAAACAGACCCCTCTTAATTCCTAATCTAGTGACACCTTGACACTTTGTTTTAATTTAGGCATCTCCCTCTCTATGGATAATTCATTCCTGAAAATCAGACATTCTATGTAGGAATACCAATCAGAAACTTAACCTCTCCCCTTTTGAACATGCAGTCTCCTTATATTGTCCAGGCTGGCCTCAAAGTGATCCTCTTGCCACAGCCTGCTGAGTAGCTGGGGCTACAAGTGCATACCACTGTACTTGGCTGCATTTTGTTTTATTTTATGTATGTATGTATGTATGTATGTATGTATGTATGTATGTATGTATGTGTGGTATAGCCATGTGCGTTGTTGGGGGTGCTAACCTCTGTATGTGTGGGGTATCTTCCTCTATTGCTCTCCACCTCATTTTTTGAGACAGGATATCCCACTGAATCTGGAGCTTGCCATTTTGCCTAGACTGTTTGGCCACTGAGCCCTGGGATTGGCCTGTGTCCCCCACCCCCCAGCACTAGGATTATAATCTAGCACTGCCATGCTCAGCCTTTACATGTGTGCTGGGGATCCAAACTCTGGTCCTCATGCTTGTGCAGCAGAATTTTACCCACTCATTCATCTCCTCAGACCCATACTTAGTACTTTTTTTTTTTTTTTTTTTTTTTTTTTTAACTAGTATGTATTCACTGTGTAAAAGTTCTAAGCTGACAGTATGGTTGCCATAGAAGCCTGACAACCTGAATCTGATCCCTGGAACCCATGGTAGGAGAGAACTGATTCTTGAAAGTTGTCCTCTGACCTCCATATATGCATCTGCACTCACACAGTCATGCACAGTAGTGGAAATCACACACACACAGAGAAAAAAAATAATGTAAAATAATTTTTAAAGTAATAAAAATGGGTTTCATTATGACATATTCATATTCTCTTTATCTTTCTTCCATTTCTCCCTCCCTCTTTCTATTCTTATTTGTTTTTTTAAATTTATTTTAGACAAGATCTCATGTATCCCAGTGTTGTCCGAGTTCTCTTAAGGTCCCTTGCTCCTGGTGCTATTAGACAAACCATATAACACATCTTTATCTGAATTTTTCAGTTTGTATCCTGGGTAGGGGAAATAGAGTAACTTACAAAGGCAAACCGTTCTGCCCTGTAGCTTAGCAGCCCACCATTCCAGGTCACTTCTGCGCCCCGCCCACAGTTGCCATTAGCTTTCGCCCACGCCTCATGGGCCTGCAGTTTCGCCCCAGGTCAGTAAACGCCCCCTCATGTCCACTCAGGCGAGACACCCGTTGCCATTATTTCTGCGCCACCGCTGCCAAGATGGCACCAACACTCCTCCCTCCGCCGCTAACTCTCCATAGCTCCCTCTCCGTAGCTAACTCTCCACTGCTAACTCTCCGCAGCAGGCTCCGCCCCTCAGAGGAACAGGTACCCCTCGGGACACACCAGGCTGGCCTTGAAGTAGTTGGAGATGGCTTTGAACTTTGTACCCTCTTGCCTCCGCCTTCAGAGTACTGGGCTTCTGCCACCACGCCTAGTTTATGTGGTGCTGGGGATCAAACCTAGGGTTTTGAGTGTGCTTGGCAGGCACTGTGCCAACCCCCACCTCCTTTTTACCTCCTCCTCCTCTTTGTTTGAGGTCTTGCTATGTAGCTCAGGTGGTTCATTACTGGTTGTGTTTTTTCCATCTAAGAGAAGCATGCCATTAACCTGCAGAGAATACTGGGAATGCCAATGGAGAAAAAGAACAGCACCTATCCCTACAGTCCTGGAGGGCAGGTATAGTCTCCAGATGCCACTCTTACTGGTGTTCTGTTCTGTGCAGTGTGGCTTCCTGTTGTGGTGCATGGCCCCAAGCCCTTCCAATGGGGCTGAACTGCTGTACAGGCGCATCATCCGTCCTATCTTCCTGAAGCATGAGTCCCAGGTAGACAGTGTGGTGAAGGACGTGAAAGACAAAGCCAAAGAGACTGCAGATGCCATCACCAAAGAAGGTAAGCCCGAGGGACATGACAGGCTTCCTGGTCTTGTACTCCCAGCTCTCCTTGGCTAAAATGCCAAGGTCACTAAAGGAATTCCTTTATGAGTAAGGAAATTCCTGTTGCCCTTTGCTTTCCCTAAACTTCTTCCTCTGTGACACATAGCCTTCAGTCATCATTTTAGGAAAAATGACTTCTCCACTGCAGAGAATCATTTAAAGTTAAATAAAGGGCTGGTGAGATGACTCAGTGAATAAAAATGCTGGTTGCCTAACCCTGACAACCCAAGTTTGACCCCTGGGACCCACATGGCAGAAGGAAAGAACTGACACCCAGAAGCTCTCTGACCTCTACACTTGCACACACTGTCTCACACATGCATGCATAAGTACATTCAGACAATAAATAAATGTAATAAAAAGAAATTAAAAAAATATAAGTAGAAAAAAACCCTCTCAGCTCCCTGATTGAGCCATTCTAACATTCATTTACTTATATGTTTAATATGTGCCAAGTGTGTTCATAGCACTGTCAGCAAGCCAGTGAATAACAAAGAATAAAATAAAAAGATTGTAGGTGGGCCAGGGAGATGGCTCAGCAGGTTAAGGCACTTGCTGCTGAGCCTGATGACCTGTGTTTGATCCTCAGAACCCACATGATGGAAGGAGAGAACAACCTCCTGCAAATTTTTCTGTGACTTCCACATGTGTGCTGTGGAATGTGTACACCCACATATACACACATAAATAAAGAAATGTAATTTGAAAAGGTTTATAGGCTACATTTAGCCATTTAGTAGATAATATAGAGAAAAATAAGTCATGCAGGAAGATAGGGAGTGCCGGGGATTGGAAGGATGGTTGCAATTTTAAACAGGGAAACCAGGAAATCCTCAGGGAGAAGGCTAAATTGAATCAGACTTGAAATAGTCACAGGAGCAATAGAATGAGAAACTGTTGCAGAAGGAGCTGCATGTACAAAGTCCTGAGGGAGAGGCAATAAATGGAATGTGGAGGGATTGTAGGATGCAGAGACCCAAGTCTGCTTTGCTTAGCAGGGGAGACTTGCCTCCCTGACAGCGATACCAACTGGGGGCTAGTGTTTCTTGATAGCAAGCCAACTTTATTCTCTAATAACAAGCTTATATACAAGAGAGGGGCTAGTGGGTACATGCAGGGTCCAGGGTACATATAAAGTTCAGTTTAGACAAAGACAAAGGGTGCTCATATTATGTGTCACACAGGTTGATCACTCCTTAGAGTGGGCAGAGAGTTGTTTGTTAAAGGCCAGGGAATGTGTCAGATGTCTTAATTTTAATTACATACTTCGTGTTGTTGATTAGGTTGTTTTTCATCTCTAGATCAAGGAAGTCAAGATGTTTTTCTTAGAACAAAGGGACTGTAAACTCTCAACCTGGCCAGCTTACTTCTGCTAGTCATTACAGTGTTCCACATGACAGGGCTGTGAGACACTGTTTTCAGTGCTTTGCCCCTTTTAGCAGAGGCTGAAGCTGTTTAGAAGTTCAGGCCCATTTTGTCTTAAGTCCAGCCTCCTACAGTCTCCTACAGTAGGAGACAGGTTAGAGAGAGAGCCTGTTTAGAAGTTCGGGCCCATTTTGTGTTAAGTCCACCCTCCTACAGTCTCCCACAGTAGGAGACAGGTTAGAGAGAGGGGATGGGGGTGAGGAGGGGATGGTGGATCACCATAGGCCACTGGAAAGGCCTTGGCTTTGACTCTGAGAAAGGTGCTGCGGGAAAACTTTGAGCAGAGGACAAACATGATCTGTGGTCACTGTATTAAGAATGAACTGAAGGGGACTAGAGAAATGGCTTAGCACCTACATGCCAGCTAACAGCCATCCCTAACTCCAGTTCCAGGAGATACAACGCCCTCTTCTGATCTCTGTGGGCATTGCACGACATGGGTACACTTACACTCATAAAATAAAAATAAAATATTTTTAAAAAAAGAATAGACTGAAGGAAGAAGGAAGGAAATTGAAAGTCTGGTTGAAATGTTGTTGAGATCTGGCCAGAGGAGATGATAGTATCTTGGTTTGTTGAAGTAGTAATAAAGTAGTAGTAATAAATATGAGATTCTGGATTATTTTGAAGGTAAGGCCAACAGGATTTATTTATGCATTAGGTGTGAAAATTTGAGAGAGAAAAGAAGCCAAGGCCAAGGCTTTACAGCCTGAACTGTGGAAGGACAGAGTTGCCACTGAGGTGGGAAGACTGTAGACATATCCTGTAGGAAATGTGGAATTCAGCCCTGGACATATGTTAGATACCTTCATGGAGAAGTCAAACAGCCAGTTGGATATGGATGTTGAGAGTTCAGGAAGCAATTCACCAGCCCAGTGCACTGATGGAAAAGCTGATTGAGGTAGCAAGAAAGCTGTGAGAGTTTGGTGCCCTTGGGGCCAAGAGAACAGTGTTTCAGTGAGGAAGACATATGAATTATGCCTTGTGTGGTAGACAGGCCAAGTAAGATGAAGATTGACAGATGACTATCAGATGGAACAGTGAGGAAGGTCTTAGTGGGCTTGAGAAAACAAACTTACGGCCTGCTGGGAACAAATGTCTCATTGGAAGGAATTTGAGAGAATGGGAGAAATGGCATGAGAGAATTTGGACAGCTCTTGAGAAATTTCCTGCAAAGGAGAGTGAATGGCATTGGAATGAGAAAAAAAATAAGTTCCTGAGAATTCTTGAACTCCTTTTTTAAGGTATGAGAAACAAAGTATGTTTGAAAGTGAGTGGGAATGATCCAGTCGAGGGTAAAGGGTGCCAGTTAGAGGGAGAAGGAGAACCGCTGTCCTTGGGAGCACAGTGGCTCTCTGAGTGTCCCAGTAGACCAGAGGCAGGATCTAGTGTAAAACAGATGGTCAGAGAAGCTGGACATTTTATGCAGGAGGGAATTGGGGTTTGCAGTAGAGATGCTGGTAGGTGAGTATGTGACTGGAGCTTTGAGAAGTGATTTCCTGGTGGCCTCAAATTTCTTAGCGATGTGGGAAGAAAGAAGGCCAAGTGGGAGGTGACAGAGTGCTGATGGAAGAAGCATGGATAGCTGTTCAGAGAGGCTGCTGTAAAGGCCACATAGTAAACACTGCATGTGTCAAGGGCCATTTAGTCTCTGTTGCAACTGCTTATTTCTACTTTGGAGCATGAAAGCAGTTCTAAAACTGGGTTTTAGAAATTGGAAAGAAGTAGGTAGTTGGCATCATGTAGCAGATTTTTTTATTTTTATTTTTTTTCTTCTTTGATTTATTTATTTATTTTATGGGGTTTTTGGCTAGCTACTCTACCCCCCTCCCCCCCGTGAAGAGGTAACCCTAAAATCTTTTAAGGATTAGATACAAACTCCCAAATACTTTGGACATTTTTGGCCTTTGGAACAGAGTATGTTGCTAACAGGCCCAACGTCATTTTGACT